TTTTTTTTTTTAACATCAAAGAGAAAGAGAGGGTCTAGAGAGAGAGAAAGAAAGAAAGAAAGAAAGAAAGAAAGAAAGAAAGAAAGGCGGAGATTATGTGGTGTGTGGCAGCGTCGATAATCGTCGGTTTCGGACTTTCGCCGGACACGCACAACAAAAAAAAAAAAAAAAAAGAAATATCTTTGGAAATGGATTTTACGATCGCGATATCACAGGGATCTCGAGGGATCCCATGTCCTAAATTCGAAATTCACAGCCTTAATCTTTGCCCGCACCCAACGGATCGAGTTCGATGTCGGTGTTGAATTCTGAAGCGCTACGTAACTATACTGTGGTGTCGCAAGAATCTCGTTCTAAACTTTCACGAAAATCACTGTTCTAGGTCAACAGCCGCGTCCATCCGGCGAGCAGCCCTACGATCTAATCCATTCGAATTACGAGCCACGAAATCGCCGTCGAAAACTTTTACAGCTATAACAAGGGAAGAAGAATTCCGGGACGGAAATAATCACGCGCATACTCTTTCGCCGCCTGTCATCGTATCCATAATTTATATATATATATATATATATATATATATATATATATGTATGTATGTATATATATGTATATATATATGTATGTATATATATATATATGTATATATATATATTTATATGTATGTATGTATATATGTATGTATATAATTATCGCGCGCGCTATAACACAATTAATAACACGATATCGATACGATTCGTGCGCACACTCACAGTATATACTTGTTACGTGATTTTTTTTCTTTTTCTTTTTTTTTCTTTTTTTTTTTTTTATTAACAACTCGTTCACGCACCTTAAAATTCTTATTCTAATATTAGCACTAACCTACCACTAACTCATACAATCATCAAACGATATTTTTATTGCCGTTATTGCTCGTTATTTCTAATGTCCACTATATATATATATATGTACATATATATATATATGTATATATATGTATATAGTTGTCGCTGCTACATAGATTTTTTTCTATTGTTACCACTACCACACTACCAAAGAACTACTATTACCGTTATCGCTACTTATTCCTAATACCGTTACTAATAATTAAATCGTCTACTATTATTTATTATTTACAAGTCTTTTGTCTCTTGTTCCTATCGAGACAGCGTCAAGGCAACGATTCCGCTCGAAATCGTCGCCGAATCGGCTCTTTTTCACCACCACTTTTCACAAACGAATTTCGAATCTTTCGTTCCGATCGAAAAAAAGAAAAAAAGAAACGCGCGTTTTCTTTTTCTTTTTCTTTTTCTTCTCTTTTTAAGATCCAACACGACGCAACATTTTGTAACGCTAATGACTAAATAAGGAGCGAAACGTGTCGCCGCTCGGCTAATACGAATTCTTAACGAATAAAAATATGAGAAAGAATGAAACGGAAAAGAGAAAAATCGAGAAAGTTTTCACGACGATACGAAACGTAACGATACAACAAGATATAATATAACTGTATTCTTAGAAAAAAGTAAGGGATAAGAGCAAACGAATAACAATAAACCGTACACGTATATGGTACACAATGGACGAATTGGAGGTTAGGATTGTGGCTCGATTTGGGAGCCATCGCTCGGTCTCGTTAGGAACGATTTTATACGTGCTCCCGTCGATCTTCATGGGGCTTCTTTTAAAAGGAAAGAAAGAGAGAGATAGAGAGAGAAAAGTCAATGGCTGCCGATATTCCGCAGAATGGCACCGGGGGAGATCATATCGTTATTCGTATCCTCGATGAGGTCGAGATTTCTCGGTAAGAGACAAACGTCGAAGGGGTCGGGCGTGACGGTCACACCGGCATTGCCGCGCAAACTCGGCAAGGACGAGCCCTGCGGCGATCGCAGCTCGAACGTGTGCATCAACGAGCTGAAGAACAAGAATAACTCCATGCGTGCGAGCACATCGCCAAGGCACATACGTCTACCGACACCGAAAGGCATAAAGTATTCCGGTTTCTGGACTTTACCTTCGGCCGAGAGGAACCGACTCGGTCGAAACTCCTCTGGTTTCTCCCAAAGTTCGGGATCCATGTGCACGGCGTGCAACAGCGGCACCACTTGAGATCCTGCCGGTATCGTGTAACCGTGCAACGTCACGTCCCTGAAAAAGGGAAAAAGAAATATTCGTTTTCAATCCTCGATCCCCATTCTTCTCTTCTGTTAAATTTTCGTCCATTAAATTATCGTCTATCCGTGTTCCAACGGATTAGATCAGAGGGATTAAACTCTCTTCGAAATCGAGTCGCATTTCGAAACGAGATCTCTTTATCCGTTTTCAATTTTCAATCACGATGAATTGAGAATGAAAATCGATTGTATTATCGATCGAAATGCAAATCGTTTGATCGAATAATCTTCGTATATCTTGGATGATATTAAGAAGTGTCTGATGCGAAATGATCGGAGAAGCGCGATTAGGTGACGATCAATGATATACCTCGTGGTGGCATGAGTGGTCCCCAAAGGGACGACGCTCGATCGTCTGAGGACCTCGAGTATCGTTGCCTCTGTTATCGGAAGGAAAGGGAGATCCTCCAAGGCTGGCATCCTCGATTTCCCCACCACTTGATCCAATTCCTCCTGTACGGCGATCGCCGCGTCCGGATGATGCAGCATCAAGATTATCGCCCATTCCAACGTGGTCTTCACCGTTTCCATCCCGGCGGAGAACAAGTCGCCGAGTATCTGTTGCATCTGACGATCTGGGGCGATAGAATTTGAAAAAATAAATAAATAAGAAGAAGGAGAGGAAAGACGGGGGAGGATGGGCGATGGCTTCTCACCGTGATTCTTTCCTTGGAAAAGGGCGGTGGCACGACCCTCCCCCTTCGCTTTCTCGATCTCGAGCAAGTACGCGTCGACGAGATCTCTCATTGTCCCCTCGTCGAAAGTCGCGCGATGCTGATCGACCGTCTCCTGAAAGAAATCGGCCATTTCCGCCCGATTTTCCGCCAATTTGTTTCGAACCTTCTGCAGGCAGGGCAGGTAACGCATTACGGGGATGAAGTTGACGGCGGCCATACTGCCGAACAATTTGAACCCCTCCTCGATCAAGTCCATAAATCTTTTGAATCTGGCGTCGCCATGCTGGAATCGTACTCCCATTATGATGGAGCAGATAACGTTGCTGATAGACATTCCAAGGGAAGCCGAAACGTCGGTCGGCGTGCCACGTTTTGACGCCAATCCACGAAGGAACGTTTTAACTTCGCGCTGAAATGAAATTTAATCACGTTTTAAAGCCCTTTCCAATAATATCATATCATATAATATAACAATAATATCGTACGATATTATATCGAAACATAAATAAATTGAAACGAATAAATTCAAAGATAACGAAAATACGTGTGTATAAATATATACACGGAAATAAAAGAAGCAAAAATATCGAGAAAGAGGAACTCACCATGATTCTCGATTCCATAATTTTCTTTCCACCTCCCATATAAGTCATGCCGAAACCTCTTAGCTTATCGTGAAGAAATTTTCTTTGGTCTTTCCACATAGCACCTTCTGTGTTGATTATACCTACGGGAAAAGAAAAACAAATTTTAAACTTTTTTGAAAATGATCCGCCCGTCAAATTCAACGTTATATTATATAAATTATCCACAAATTATCCAAATTATCCTACGAATTTTGTCTATCGATAACCCACGAGATTTGAAGAGTAATTTCGAGGAGCGGTTCGAATTTAAATTTATTAAAATTAAAAGAGGATTATTGCAGAGCAGCGAGGGAGGGGGGGAAGAGGAGAAAGAAAGAAAGAAAGAAAGAAGAGGAAAGCAGTTGGAGAAGAAAAAGAGAGAGTTCGCTGTTTCTATAGCGACAAGATTAAACGCGTGCACGTAGCGGCGCGAACGCTTGATAAAAGGGAGAAAAGAAAAAAGGGAGGGGAGAAGAGAGAGAGAGAGAGAGAGAGAGAGAGAAAGAGAGAAAAAAAAAAGAAAGGAAGAAGAGAAGAGCAAGATCTCGTGGGAAAGCGCGTCAAAGTCAAAAATCTGGGAGGTAGCGAGAAATCGAGATAGAGAGGCGGCGGTTATCGAGCATGACAGTCGTCACGTGGTATATACACTTACCATATCCGCCGAGGATGTTGATGAACTCGGTATGCGGTCTGCCAGTAAACTCTTCCCGACGAAACGTGTCGCGAATCGTACGATGATCGCTGAGAACAACCACCAGTTGCGTACCAAGCCGGGCACTGAACATTGGACCATATTTTTTCGCTAGCTCTCCGTACCTGAGGTGAACGTCGCCTTTCAGGAATGGCAAATAACCGAACACGGGTACACCCCAAGGCCCTGGAGGCAGAGAGCGCACATACCTGAGCCATTGCAAGCATCTAGCCACCAGCAATACACCTAGGAACACGAGAAACGTGCAAAGGACCTCGATTCTCGTGCCGCCCATTGCTTGCCAAGCCCATTGTGCAGCGTGCTCCACTAACATCGCGCGACGTTTCAATTACGACGTTTCAATTTTTCAACAACGCCTTTGTCCTTTTCCCGCGATAAAATGTATCTTATCCTCTTCGTATCCACGCCACGATCCTTCTTCCGAGATTTTAATTTGATTCTACGACAACTTTGCCAACTATACTCTTCCTTCCTCCTTTTTGCAACTTTTGCGCCTCTATTCCAATTGTGCCTCCTTTCCTCTTCCTTGTTCCTTGCCCTTCCTTTTCCTCCCTCCCTTCTCGCCACTTCTCTTCCCGTTGCTCTTTCCACCTTGATTTTCTTCGACCTCTAATCTTATTCGCTCGACTCGCTTCCCTCCCCTCTCTCTCTCTCTCTCTCTCTCTCTCTCTCTCTCTCTCTCTCTCTCTCTCTCTCTTTCTCCCTCCCTCCCTCTCCCTCTTTCTCTCTCTCGCTCTCTCGCTCTCTCTCTCTCCTTTCTCCCCGACGTATCACCTCTTCTTATCTCTGTTGCCGCCTTTCAACCCTCTCTCTCTTCTCACTTTTCTTCTTTCCCTTTCGCTTTCTACGCCTCTTTCCTTCTCCTTTTTTCTCTTTTTCCCCCTTTCCTTTCCTTCCTTTCCCCCTTTTCCTTCCTTTCCCTTCGCCGTCCGATACGATTATCCAACACGATGCCTCGAACAGAGAAAACACGCCTCGCGAGCCTCCCCTTCTGAGCTGATTTCGTACCGGCGCGAACACAATTTTCCTACTCGAAACGATGCTTCCGAAATTCGCGGCTTTAAGTATCAAATCTGACCAAGTTGGTGGGGCATAATCTGGAGGGGAATATATGAAAAAAGAGGGGAGAAGGAGAGCGCGCGTGTGCGTGTACGTGATCGTATTCGCACACGCACGTGTTGTACGAGAGAGGATAATTAGATTGATTTATCAAAAAGAAAAAAAAAAAAAAAAAAAAAAAAAAAAGAAAGAAAGAAAGAAAGAAAAGAAAAAAAAAGAAAAAAGAAATCTCTCCGATCGATCGACCGATTAAACAAGAATTAATGGGATATTAACCCGTTGATTGATTCGAGGGAAATAGGGAAAAAGAAAGAAAAAATGATCCAAAGAACGATACGAATATATATATATATATATATATATATGTATATATATAACCTATATACATATATACATATACATATATATATATATATAGTATCCACCTATAAGACGAACCTGGTAGAAAGAACCGTAGAGTGTAGCAGTTGAATGTAGAAAGAGCGAGTGGGAGTGAGTAACGTGCACGCACAGGTGATAAACGCGCCCGCTTATGCTTACGCACTAAGGGAAGAAACGTGGTGGGAGGAGTGTCAATGGGAAGCAAAGGACGATTGAAAACGGAGAAAGAAAGGGAGGGTGGAAGGAAGAAAGACAGAGGGGAGAGAGAGAGAGAGAGAG